ACCAGTTTGCAGACTCCTGATGGATGGGGGCCTGCTTAACCCTATGGGATAGTTCAAACCAATGACCACGTTGTGTTCCTGGCCACCTCTAGCCATCGTGTTGCACCCACCTCTCAGAAAAAAAAGGACTATTTCAAAATCTTTGTCTTCACGCCTAGCAAGCTCATGTGGGCATTTTTGATTACTGTGTAACGTATTTGACTAGACGGGCAAATAATCGAATATTCAACGACTCTGGTTAGTTGACAAGAAACTGGACGTCTCCGCCCCAATCGTTGACGTTTCATGCGTTGGAGTTTTTGTTGGTACTCCGTCTCTTCATGATTACAACGTTATACTCGGTGTTTCCTACCCACCACCACTCCGCTCTTGCCAGGCTGTCGTTCTAAGTGCTCTTCCAACCTTCTTCAACGCTTCATAACTCCGGACTCTTTATCCATTCACTAATGAAGCGACATTCAAATCATACAAATACCTTTCATTCATATGGAAACTGCTTCATATCTAGTCTTAGTAGAGCTAGGAGAAGCTTACATGATGACTATTGCAACATAATAGTACTTCAAACCACTTTTGTCTCTGGAGCAGCAAATCCTCGTATCCACCCGTGCTGAATTACTATGTCGAATGTTTCGGAGGGTTTCATCGTGTATGCTCAACCGTTCCAAAATCTGTGAGTGGACGTTCCCTTTTCCGGGTGGCATAAAAGGTGTTGTATTATGGCAGCATTTTGAAGCAGTAGTATCTCAGGGTTAGTAGGCCTTAGTCTATACAAGCTTTGAACTGTTTCGAGTGTTTCATGGGGTTTCGTGGAGTCGGTTGAACGATGCTAAAGACTAGGTTTGCATGTTATCCGAACATCGTTACATTAAAAACGCTATACTCAAATACCACTCCTGTTTTTCTGCAATAATCTAGGTGAAATAACCACTACTTGCATTGCTACCCGTTTTCTTGCCAATTTATTAGTTCATTTAGAAATCTGTCCTATATATGTACTGACACCCGCCAAGAAACAAATGGAATGGGTTCGATCTTGGGTACGATTGCTGGACATCTTGCGCTTTACTGCAGTTCTCCATTGTGTGTATCTTTTGATGCTTCCATGAGCCGCTGAGAGTGCCGGGGGCGCTGAGGTCACTGGTGCCGCCGCACCATTCCACCCAGTCGACGAGCTGAGCGTATTGAATAGACCACTTCTAGTTTTAGTTCACGCTAACTTTTTCAAATGTTCCTCACTTCTGGATAACTGTTGGCTCACCAGCGCAAAGCGTTGTGGTATTTAGGAAGTGAATTTTATCCAAAAATGAGAACGCGATCATAATATCGGGCTAACTATCCGCGTTGAATCCTTCAAGGTATGACTAAAGCGTCAACTTGTAAATAGCAGATCTGCAACGGGATCGACTAGTATTTCTAAGAAATAAGATTCGAGATCTGCCTTGTACAGGGCATGAATGGAGGGCAAGTTGGACGAAGTGAATTACACCCAGTCCACTGATTTTCCGGTGATTTATTTCGCTACAGAGCTTTTTTATCCTACCTTTTGCATTGGACCAATAATCCGAGTGAAGGAGACATCCAGAATTTATTTAAATTCACAGCAGTTTTAATATTTGCTTTCTTGTACTTTATGCTTTTTCCCTTATAGTGAGAAAAGACTTTGTTGGATAAGATTTCGGATGTGGAATTTTCCTAATACAGTTTCATGATTCATCAACGATTACAAAGTGAGAGATATGAGAGGGATGTGTTCCATCCCTCCGGAGTCGCAAATTGGTACCACACTTGTCTGGGAGGATAGCAGCACTGGCTCGATACATCGGCAGGGTACCACGAGTCATTGTAAAGGTCAGACGTGCATTCAGTCACCTCTAACGATCCTTAATGAAGTTGAATGTATGGCGCTTCTCTGAGGGCTTGATCAACGCCGACAACTATCCTTTTTTTATGAGAGAGATTGTGTTCTGATCAGATGCTCAACTGCGTGAATCTGATTATATTATTTATCTTTGACACAAATGCGAATGTTGAGAAGGAAAAATCAAATTCCTTGAACCGCGCAAGATAAGTTGCGTTTCCACTGAAGAATTCCACGTTACCACTTTTTTCGTGGGTTATCTACGTTGTCACTTTCGCTTCGATCAAACTTTGCTCATCATTCCTTTTCTTTTGCCGGTGTGATACATCGACTACAGTCGAATCACCTGTGTGGTAGAAGAACATTCAATGCAGAAATTCGTCCGAAAACCCATACCGATTCGTCGTACGGTTTTCGTCTTCGTCGAATATGGGATTCCGGATAGCCACCGCATGAACATGGCGCCAATGTCTCGCCATAGTCATTTATCTTAATGACCGTCTCGTTCTTCCTCAACCACAAACAGTCAGCTTTCAGTTTGTTCAACATTCTGCGCAAAAATATGACTGAAAAATGCTTGAGCACCGCCTCATCGTGGCTGTGAAGTGTTTCTGGGTGTCGGACTGCGATGTACAGCAGGAGGATTCGTCCACCCGGCTGGGTCTGCCAAGCTGAGAAGGAGTCCGGCGTTTCCATCAAGAAGTTTAGCTGAGAGTAAATAGTATGATCCACCACCGTCTTGGTATCAAAGTCGCGTGGTGGCAGATCTCCCTCTGATCCACAAGGACGTTAGCTACTGCCTGTCGTGGTGATGAGCTGTGGCAGACTTTGGCCAGGCTGCCTTCGGGATTCCAGGGAACCACAATGGCTTAAGCAGCAAATCTCCGAAAAATGGTGATTATGCTGGAGCGCGCACAACTAATCATGGCGGGCCGTTGAAGTACCAAGTAAGTTAGTAGGTAATAAAGACAATGAACACTTCTTTCCGTCGCACCTTCTCTACTGCCCAGCTTTCCTGTCCTAGCCGAGAACATGAACACTATATAATCAGTATAAAGGCCAGTCATTACTAGCGAACGTCTATGCAGAAGGTGATGCTAGGATACCCTATAGCGTGAAAGTGAGTACGTTGACGATCAAAGAACTGTGATAACTCAGTGTACAAGATGATGGAAATCACGTGAAACGTCAAACTACGACCGTTGACTGATCAGAAGTTATTGGATAGTAGGTGAGTGAATAGGCAAACAACGAAAAGACCATGAAGTGGATCATCAAACATTTTCAGAAGGAACCAAAATTGGCAATATGACAAACGTAGGGGGGAGAGGGTGAAGCACGGTAGTGCCGTGGTCAGTGATGCCGTCGATCGTCGATCAAGAAGCGGTGCTCGTTCGACCACCCTTCTAGTGCTCCACCCCAATCCACGTGGGAATGGGACAATTCCATGGCCTCCATGATTACAAGGAGAGTCGATTCGACCAGTAGTCTACTATATTCATAAAGCACACAAAATCCTCAAGCAGTAGCCGGAACAAGAGGCGAAATGTTCGAAGGCCGTAGTGGATTGACGATAAATGCGGAAGGAACAAATCTAGTGGACGAAGTGCTAGAATCCGCAGAGTAGACCTGAATGCGGGCCGTGCAAAACGCAAAGTGCACAAAAAATTGATGGATTAATTCTTGCTTTTGTTCTCCCAAATTGGTTTGGTGCCACTATTCACACTTCTGGTGAATGAGAGTTGTAGTTAGTTCGTGGCAAAGAATCGAACGAATGTATATATATATTGTATATTGCATGTATATTGCATGATGTCTCTAACCATTGCGCTATACGAGGCCTCACAGTGCAACATAGAATTCGCTCCATAAGAACTGTGTTTAAAAATACACAGCATGGCAGAAATTTTTAACCAATTGAGCCTTATGCAAAATTGATTTAATCATTATTGTGGAGATGTCAAGCTCATTTATTGGGTAGAGCTACGGGTGTTTCTTGGGCCAAAAAAAGCCCAACACTCAAAACTATAAAAGAACGACCTCTCGGACACTTCGAGACAACATAATGCAAATTGCAGCACTTGGAATAATTCTGTCATGTCATTCACAGGACACAGAATACTGACATGAACACGCCATCAATGGTGCTAAGACAACGTTCATTTTCAAAAAAAACAGCCTTTTGAACGATTGAATTATTCAAGAAGCAACAAAGATCATATTTACAAGTGCTTATCAGGCACAACTACTATCATGCCGAGATATTTGCAAAAAGTGGACCCAGGCCAGATCGAACAGCGATTACTCTCTCCGAGGGCTCACGGATTGCAAACGGCACTAGTGACGCCCTTGATTTACCTTACTCTAAGCCAGTTTTCTACTTAACGGTGCCATCAGCAGTCACCAGTTAACGGACATATATAAATATATATAAAGATTACAAAACAAAAAAGCCACAACAAAATAAAAGTCTCTAAAATTAACTCTACAATGCTCACGAAGTCACTAAAATAGTGTAAATTTTTAAGTAGATTGTAAGATTGAAAATTATTTGAAGGTCGTTTTAGAACGAAGCAAGTCGCAACCAGTCACTTTTAGAATCTAAGGAACATCAACATGACCGGCCAATTGGTGACTAAGCCATAAATGACAAGTAAGCACAGAAGAACCATTACTATGATGCACAGGAGTTGAACGCCACATTTGTGCCAGACCCAGCATAAACAAGGACGAATTCTGGAAGGATATAATGCAGATAAGAGTGGAGAGCCATGACCTTTTTTTCAAAACAAAGCTATTTCCTAAGAAAGAAGGCTACTACTATCTCCAAATATTCCAGAAAGCGGAATATTTGAACTTCATTCTACAATCAGCTCCAACCTCGAAGTTATCCAGAACGTATTCCATTTAGAACGCATCGGTTTCGGAAGGTACGGATTCTGTAAGAACGAAGTGAAGACTGTTTACTAAAGAAAAGCATGATAACAACTGGAATTTGAAAAAGAATCTGTGGAAATCTATAACATCCAAAGAAAAAAAATTGTGGAAACCACAGTGTGTTTCTATGCACTCGTTCAGTCTTCAACTCAAATAAAACCTTTTTTGGCTTAATGGAGAAAGGCTCTTTATTTAGTGGGGTTCAGTAGCGAATAAAAAATGGTAAGGCACCATAACTGACATGATTCGGTTCTTTTCTTTTCTTGCCCACAGGATCAGCCGTCGCTTGGGCCACAGTCACCAACGACATCTCCATCTCAAGCAATCCCATAATGTACAGTTGGTCTTTTTTGTAATCGTCGTCCTTCTTCTTTTTGGAGGCAGTATCCTAAAACTTATCACACTTTTTATTCATAAACGTCTAAGTAGTAAGCAGTCAGGTTTTTAGGATGGTATTAAGCTGAATATTCCAGAGAGAAAGTAATCTTCGCAAAATACGCAAAAACGCTTGAAGAACTTCTATACATTTAAGTGATATAAAGGATAAAATATGACTAAGGGAGGCACCATGCATTCGACTTTGTTAAGTATCCTTATAGAGGACAAATGCATATCTGGCCTATAAAGTGACCTCCGGTGGCCTGTCGATGCAACCGCTCAGTTCTTCTATCCTACAAGACAACTCTGCTACCAATTCGTCGAACCAGGAGGTATGAAAAGCTTGGTGAACCCTGGGCGAGGGATCGAACCAACAACTACGAGTGCATTGCCGGGCACCTCTAACCAATGGACTACATGGGTTCTTCTAAATGACACACGCAAGAATAATAATAAAAAACCAGTGATGAAGATTTCGCAACACACGAAGGATAGGAATGAAGACGGATGAAGATACGAGCTGATTCTCATAACGGGCTGTGACGTGAATTTGTTGTATTACATCATACTTGGTTAAGCGGTCGACTAACAACAGGATTCGCAATTATTCCTGAAGAGTTAGAATGATAGCACAGCAAACTGCTCTGATTCACAATTACCGGATTTTGCCCGTGACGTCACGGCGAACCATATTCCAGGTATCTCGGGGATTCAGGGAAAATCAGGTTTGACTAACACTCCACGTGCAGGTGGGAGAAGACAGAGCCTCAAGTTGCAGGCTGACTTCATAATCACATAAATTTGGTGGTATACTTCAAAATAGAAACTAAATAATAACCAACGGTAGGCTGACAATAATAGAGCAGATCTCGCAATTCATACAAAATATTAAAGCCACAATACAACGTCTCTCAGCCGATCTACACTTTGTTAGGATTGACAAAGCCGTTTTTGGCGACAGAGCTACTCTGGCTTTCGAAAACGCTGCACGGTATTAGAACACTAGTGTTAGATACCTGCTCATTTTGCTGAAAGGGATTCTTATTAAGCACCGGCCACCATCCTCTTAGGCTGCTTGAGTCGAACAAATTCACTGTTTCAACCTCATCGCCAGGTATTTTATACTTCTGAAACTATGACATCGGAAATCTACAGAAAATGATTAATTCAGCAAAAGAGAAAACACTGTGGTAAACATTCTGAGGACAGACCATCGGCTTCGGAAACGGTTGCCTGGTGGTCTTGCGGATTTTGCAACCACATCTGGTGTCTTTACAAAAGATGCATAATCTAGAATTGTAATATCATCCCCGCAGCGTTAAAAAAATTCTAAGAAGACCAACCTGACCAAGCAGCATTTCCGACCGCAAGACCTACAGCGAGCAACGCGACTCTTTCTTGATCGAATAATCCCAACATCAGCGGGGTCGACAATGCCTTCTGCAAGTATTATTCCACAAATGAAGGGAAGAAAAGAGTTCAAAAGAATGGTGCCTATTTAAGCAAGAATACCCCTGAAATGTGTCATATCCATCACCATCTCGCCAAGCATTACATCTTTTTTAAACTTATTCTTGTCCCAAAGTTGAATGATCACTAGTGGATCCACCATTTCCTCACTGGCTTTTCTGAAATAATAAACTTCTACTTTCGGCTTCCAACAACAGCGCTCACAAATCTGATGTGAAAAGTTAGCGGAACAAACGCTAGCATTTAATTCGGCACAAAATGTGAAGATACAATGGTACACAATAGTAAATAACACTAGAATGGTCAAATTTGTGAAGGAACATTTCTTATGTCACAGTCATCCATCGAAACCATTACATTCAAAATATAAATATCGATTTGGAAAGTAAATCGTACTTTCGTAACATTTTATCTACTCCCTGACACAATTCTTCACGGCAAGGTATTATGTGTGATACAACTACAATGATGCTGAGATATTTGCAAAACTCCGTGTCGCAGGTGTCTGCGGTGGGGAACGAACGCGGTATTACCCTTTCCGGTAGCTAACGCGTTCACCACCACACCATGCCGGTCCTTCTTTTCGCCTGTATCTCAATCCCGTTGACGGGTGATTGTTGATCGATAGAACTAGCTGGATACAAACGAAATAAAAGACTCGTATGGTGTGGTGGTGAACACGTTAGCTACCGGAAAGGGTAATAGCGCGTTCGTTCCCCTCCGCAGACACATGCGGTCCGGAGTTTTGCAAATATCTAGGCATCATTATTCACTGATACATAAAGTTTGATATGAGTGCGTTAAAAATAAAGAAAAGCGATTTTTAAAAAATAACAACGTGCTTATTTGACGACCTGATATTCCGAAAAAAGCTTTCAATACTATGGTGAATTTCGTTGAACAGAAGACGACATCTATACAAATTTACCTAAAAAGTCGCTTCTTATGGTAGTTGACAATCTTTTGCTCCCATGGATTGAAAGTGATGTCCATGACGAATCGCCAGTTGAACTCTCCACAACCATCAAGAGATCTGGAGATACCGATTGAACGATGAGAAGTTCAACCACTTATCAAGCAGAGCTCGACCTTACCGAAAGTGCACATCTGATTTCTGCGCCTTCTGAGACCCATTTGTAAACATTTTCACATACAGATCCGCTGTCTGAATCAAGACGAGATCAAGATCTTCTAATAGGTGGCAATCATTTCTCTGCTTGATATAAATGGGTGCTTATCAACGTTCAAATAAACTAATTCAAAGTACCGGTGAACCGAAGCTCCGCTTCACTGGAATTGCTCCAAAGACGTTGAAGAGTGCGATTCTAAGCTGGTATTTCTCTGGCTCACGAGGGGCTATATTCAGTGGTGGAGGTACTGCGCCGTAGCTCAGCTGAGAAAAAAAAACCAGTGAGCGGTCTCTCTTAGTCATACATTACCAACAAGAAAAGAAGAGGAAGTTGAAACCACTTAGTATAGTAAACTCTTCTTCATGATGGAAATTTTAGCTTGGATTGGATTACAAGTCCATGACTCCTATACCGTCATATCTATTTTTCTTGTATTTAAATAGGCTTGTAATATTGAACTATGTTCTGAAACATTCTTTAGCTAGGCTTTGTGATAAGACCAAAGTAACATCGAATCGAAGTGGATGATCAAAAAATTTGTACCATTGTGTTCTATGAGCATTTGTTCCTCACCTAGGTGTACATAACTGCCAAAACGACTACGCCTCGCTCTATTGGATAGCTGACACGGCACTTCGTCTTTAAGCGTTTTGAAAAGGGAAATGGTTTACCATGTTGAGCGATTTATTTTCCAACTAGATTAGTTGTAAAAGGCATCAAGCTTCTTCTACCCTAATGGCACACCTCAACTTGATGACTTACCACAAAAGAATGTCTAGTTCAGCGTCCCACACTCTAATCAGCTACAACATGCTTGTACGATTCATCTTCTGGGAATCTGTTCCTCTACAAGCACTAATAAAATTTTCAGAGGCTGAGAGACATGAGAGCTGGGCTTGCTGAGGAGCAGGTAATCTTTCTAGTTCCACTACAGCAAGACTCCCTGGTTCTCCGATAGCTATTCCGTACGGTCACCAACTGATCGTCTATGTCTTTTGGGATTTGCGAAACATGGTGTTGTTGCTTATGCGAGTTCCTAGAATACAGCTAAATAGTTAACACTAATCATTGGACACAGTAGCTCCTCAAGCACGCTGCTACCACAAAGCAAATACGACTGAAATGACCAAAACACCGATATTATCATGACGACTGACAACGATGGACACGACACTGTAAAGACGACTCAAGCACAACGGAAAAGTCGGATAGCGCTATCATTCCTTAGCAATCGAACTACCTGAACATAATAGTTCGGTATCGGAGTAAATTTTGGAGAATCGCCTCAGTTCAATAATCTAGCAGAAATAACGAAACCTCGACTGGATTCTTGATAGATTTCCAATTTTATTAACCTCATGAGTTGCATTCAGTCACTAGATTCAAACTTCCAAATGGATTCTTTTAAAACTTTTCCTACGCGTACCGGAAACAGGTCAACGAACATTCGCAGCTCCCCACACGGCGTCTTCCCTCCCATTTCCGTATGCAGGGTCCGAGTTTCAACATGCTCAGGAACCAAATTCAGCTGGAAGTCAGAATTCACTTTTAGGTAGAGTTGAAATAAAACTGTGAACTTATGCGGGCTGTTCGCACGCCAAAGATTTTAGCTGAAATATTTTTAAAAGTGGAATGTAGATAGGAAGAGCAGCAGGTGTGCATGTAAAAGGACGGCTACATCTACCAATTAAAACCATTCATCTAGGAGTCTACATAAATTGACGGCCATGCAACGACTCTAGGTAACTAGTCTGCCCAGAATCATATATGTACGAATCTGAACACTTTTTTCGACTTTGCACCATACAGAATCACATGTCTATTCTCGCATTACCTTCAACAGACACGAGATTCTCCATAGGCGGAGTGATATACGTATATATGCACATGTATATATTTATATATATAAACATATATATATATATACATTCTCTTAACAACATATGCTTGAGAAAACATCTCTTGCACAGCTAAAAACATGACTTTGCCGATTTTCTACTGCTATGCTGAGTAACTGTTGCTGGTGACACAACCCAACTTACTCTCCGTGCTAGCTCTTTGTCTTCAGAGGGAATCACAATTTTGATCCAGACCGTGAATGTATTGCGGATTCTTGAATGAATGTGGATTGAGTTACAGTAAGGATGAATTCGCTAGGGAGGCGTAAACAGTTCTGTTTCTTGTTTTCCTTCAACACTTTTCAATGAATAGAAAACCAAACAACGTATTAGGTGCCAGGTTTCGCCTTTTTTTCTAGGTCTCGTTCACCACGGTGAAGGTACATGTGGCTTTCAATTTCGCAAAGATCTGAGGAAAATATGGAATTGTGTAAAAATTAAGAGTATTATCTGAGTGAATGGTGCGAAATTTATTGCCTTGTCTCAACATCTCCGTACTCTGATATCCTTCATACATAGCTTCACATTGGAGATTACCATTTACTAATACAAAAGCGGTCATCACCAAAACCATGCGAGTCGCCGCACTTCCGACTGGTATTATTTTAATAACTAGGTAAAACATTCTTCTTCAAGTTCGGAGAATCGGGTCAAGGCGCTAATAATCCCTTCGTGGGTCGAAGGAAAGGTTTCGCGCCTAACTACAAAATTAACGATCCAGTCCAAGGAGTAAGTAAAACATCCAACTGCTCCTTGCTAAGCTGACTCCACTTGATTAGGCGATACTGTAAGTTAAAAAGGACGCTGCGCCAGGAGAGCCTTGCTCTGCGTTTCACTCAGCTGGTTTTCTACCTAACGCTGCCATCAGCAAACACCCGTTGGTGGGATTTATCTGGAGAGCACAACTCGGCATTGAACCCAGTTATGCTGAGGCTATAGTCGAAATAACAATGTTAACTGTTCCCAGGATCGACTTTCTATTAACATCGGCATTGGAATATGAATGCATCGTTTTCTTGTTCAGCAATCGCAAAGTTGTTAAACAGCATACATTTACTTCCATAGAAAAACATAATACAATACAACAGTAGCTGACGTTTCGGCGGCATCGCCTTCTTCAGAGCCGCCATCCAAGCCGCCATGAATCAGTCATCAACCATATGCGACTATAATAAGCTGTTCTAATCTTCCTCATTGGAAGTCACGTAAAAAGCGTCTCTGAAGAAGGCGATACTGCCGAAACGTCAGCTACTGCTGCATTGTATTGTGTTTTTCTATGGAAGTAAGTGAATGCTGTTTGACAACCTCGCGATTGCTGAGCAAGAAAACGACGCAATTACAGTGTTAACCTTTTATTTTATGCCTACTATAATTTATAGTTTATAATAATATATAGAGAAACGTAAATCGAAGGCTTTCAAGACGCAGTATGTAATGTGCGAGCTCCCGGAAAGGAAAGTCGTGGTTCGATCTGGCCTGCGGTCCAAGTTTTGTGAATAACTCGGCATCTTTGTGGTTGTAATTCATATCACAGCTTGCCGTGAAAAATTGTAGTAGGCAGAGAATGAAAGTGAACAAGAGCGAAAGCGTTTGGGGAATTTTGAAATGGCTACGAAATTTTCGGCTTCACCCGAAACGGATTTTTCCACGACTGACGATAATTTCTTGACGACTAGAGCAGCTTTGGAACTTCAAATATTTACAGAATGAGTGGTTTGTAAGAAGTACTCTTCCAATTGTCAACAGTTCTAGGCTCAGAGGCTCACGAAAAACTAAAGCGAAAAATATGAAACTGTAGCTTTTAGAATGATGAAATAACAGAGAACAACAAAAAATCCTCGTGAGCAAAATGCCGCTTTTCAATGTCGCCTGTCACTCAACATTAGCACGGTTAATCAGCACCTTCGTTTATTGGTAGACCTATATTAAAAATAAAGCTTTGCCACACTCAAGCTAATCACCATAAAACTAAATAATTTCAGTTCGAAACTAAAAAACCTTTCCTGTTCAATTCGTCGCTGTTTGGAATGCGTGCTTAGAAGAGGAAAGCGGAGTAGTTCCGTGGACTCCAAAAAATCAGAGTTTCACGTTAGCAGAATAAGATAGCATACCCCTAGTGTACAGAGATCTGCCGATTCCAATGTTTTTATTTCAACTTATGCAGATTAAAGTAGAAGCCCCGCAAACACGGGGCCGGTGATTCCACCCTGCGTCCCGGGCAAATCAAACCCCCTTACCCCTCCCTGGAGTATAAAATCGGCACCAGACTTTTCTGGGAAATTGAGAACGCTGATTTGCTAAATCACTAAGCCACTGAACAAGACTACATAGGCTAAATATGTATTCAATCATCTGTAAGATACAACCACAACATTGCTGAGATATTTGAATACATATTTAGCCTATGTAGTCTTGTTCAGTGGCT